TTATTGCACATCACTATAAACACTGTTGAATCCGATTAAGTCATTTTTACTTTTACTTTAAAACACCGTTTTTCATATTTTGATAAAGTTCGTTACAGTATTGTTGTCTATTTAATCTTTTCAGGAATTAATGAACAATAGGTGGATTATGCAGCACTGTTATTGATGTTAATAGGCTAGAACTAATTAATTATTACCCATGGCAACATACCCGGTATACCTTGCAGCTGCCGTAAATTCATTTTGATACATTATGTTATACATATGCTTTTATATAAACATAGTATCACGTTTTTTTATAATTTTAATTAAAATATTTTAAATTACGATCCATGTCTTGGATCACGACCAAACAACGTTGAGTCAACGACCAAAATATCACGTTGATTCAACGTCACAATATGACGGCGTTTTGATGTGGCTGGATCAACATTGATTTGACGTTGAATTTAGGTAGATCAACGACCCAACCTGTTTTCAACGTTGATCCAATGTCACTGTGCCTGCCCCCTGGTGTGTCTCATTAAATTGCTGTCCACTTGGCGGCATAAATGTCTATCACGACTAGTAAAGCTGTTAGGGGTAATTATCTTTACCCTAGCCGATTCGGTAGGCGTGACAGACATTTAAGCCTCTTGAGCTGACAGCAATTTAGCGTGAACCCCCGGGGAGTTAGGTCAATACAGATGGATCGATCTAAATATGTGGGAATGCAGTCTAACATCTAATCTTACTTCTACTATCTAAAATATCTTGTAAGTCAAGTATATACAAATATATACTTTACTTTCCATAGTTCAGATGAATATCCTTGTCCTATGACAATAATTATACTCATATTATTAATACAAAGTGAACATTACCGTCACATATCTTAACTTGGAATAATACCTACTTCAAATAGACAGTAACTGCCTCGGCTTGGTTGCAATTCATACAAAAGCAGCAGCGGAGAGAGAGAGAGAAACAAATCTGATCCGACTGCGCTGGAGTACCAGATGGCGACCTTCATCTTGCCAATCCTTTTGTGGTTGCCATGCTCATTAAATACTCAGAACTCTGACATAGTATTTGTTACTTATGCGGCACTTTTGTGTGAATCTGAATCCTGTCAGGCTCCATTTTTTCAATTGTTCCATTTGAGTTGATCTGAATTCGTTAAATTGAGAAAGAAAGACAGAGAGATAGAGAGAGGGTAAAAAAAGGTCTAACATTTTCAAAATTAGTCCAATAGTCACCTGTCCCACGGCTTATTCCCAATGACACTATAAATGAAAATGGCATTGGTGGATGGGCCAAGCACTACAGATCTATCCAAAACTGAACAAGACCAAAACATTGTACAAACAAAGTAAATTGTTTCTTAACAGTTTAAACACTTTTTTTACCAATGAGGCATAATTTTTTTTACTTCTCTTTAGAAAAGATTTACTTTTGTACCATCACTTTACAAGAAAAAAAAGAAGAAATACAGTATATTTTCCTGAAGACCAAAGTGGTCGGTCTTAACAAATGCAAGAAAATTTCAACATGATCTTTGGGGGTTAAAAAGACCAAATTGCACGAGATTATATAAAAACAGCATCACACAAACTTCGGATAATCATACTATTTTCATAGGACACTCATTTAAATAGTGAAGGTTTTGTATTGTTATGCCAAAATGCTACAGTCACATTAGGCATAAGGGACCATTTACAATGAATTTTGTCAACTTAGCTTACACACACTAACTCCACGGGGAGTAGCATTGAATACAATCAGAATATAACAGATTACTTGGTAGCATGTCTAACATTGTGTAGAATATAGAAAATTAAAGCTATTTATTATACGAGTTCGTTGGTAAAAACTTTTGAGAGCAGTCCCATTCACGAGAAGCAGAGCCGCCAATCTGACCTTCAATCAATCATAAACAAAATTGGATAAGTATTTTCAGCTTATCTTATCACATGCAACTTCACATGCCCTAAATTTTCTTGAAAAATTATGATTTATTAAAACGAGCATGGCATAATAGAACATGACTATATAGCATTTAACTGAACATGAAATGCAGTCTATGTAATTTATTAAAAAGAGCACGGCCTCTGAGAGATCTGGTGCCAGTAATTATATACATGCTTGCAGACCTGGAAACTGCTGCAGAACATGCTAACTTCACAACAATTCAGTTTATGTAATAATAATAATAACATATCTATTACAACGACAGAAGAAATATGACATGAACAACCATCAATTCAGAGTTTTATGTTGTAAGCTGAAATCACAATGGAGCTAATCTCCTCAATGCGCTTTTTGAACACAGCTTACTAAAGTGTGCATGATTTATTTGTTGTCGACATCGACAAATAAATCACGCCATGATATTGTATTATGAATAGTTGCTCAGTAGTTTGATTTTTTTTTTTTTTTTTTTGTTTTTGTTTTTGAGAAAGGGAGTGTTGTCGACATCGACAAATATATCACGTTATCACATCTGACGCAATGTCATTCTTTATTTTGCATTTGTATGTACACTTATAGTATGTCAGTTTTTTATATTTGTTATTTCATTATTGTTATTCATTTATTTATTATTATTATTATTATTATTCTATTTTTTTTTTTTTTTTAGTTTCACCACTACAAAATTCACTACAAGATATCACTTCATTACACCATTAAATAGTAAAACAATAAACAATAAAGGTGAACTTTAAAGATGTTTGCGTTTGCACAATTTCTTTAATAAAATTTAAGACTAATTTTTCCAAAATTTTCACGGGTACCGGAGTCAGGGCCACAGGTCTAAGGTCATTTAGACTGATAACTCGGTTGGATTTTGGTACTAGTATGGTACCTGTAAGCTTTTCATTAAATTCTTAGTGAATTGAATTCTTATTGAATTCCTGTATTTTGAACTTCTTATGAATCATTATCTAGGTGTTAGAAAATTCAGTTATATTTCATATGTATTTAGTCCGTCTTTATGTCAGAATTGTTGGTCACAATGAAATTTGTGTTAAAATGTAAGCATAAACATTGATATGAAAAACAATCATATCTTACAAAATATAGAGTTTAAGTATTTTTAACGATTTTTCTCCACAATACTAAAACCCAAGTAGCAGCTCTGATAATAGAGATAATATAATATTAGATGTATAAGCATCTTTGTAGGTGGTTTTGACACAGTTTTTGGGGAAAAGGTTATCTAAGGACCCCCCCCCCCCCCCATTAAATATCTTCAACACCTTCCCTAGTCGTATTTCCACGGAACTTGAGACTGCCATTCTTACAACATCAATATCCTCGACCAGATTATATAGGGTAAAACGGAAAAACAGCCAAATGATTGTTTATTTATCTAGAGACATCTCTGTGAATATTTGTAAAAAATCAGTCTGTCGACCGGGTAGAGGGTACAACATCAACGTCTCTATGGCGTAAGATAAGCGGAGGTTATCGCCTTCGGCTGTTAACCAAAAGGTTGGTGGTTCAAGCCCACCCAGGGACGATGACGTTTTGGTGACGGATAAAATTTTTCTTGTGGTTTCTAACACCCCATTTCCATAGATTAGATCGACCTACTTTAGATCGACCTAACTCCCTGGGGGTTCACGCTAAATAGCTGTCAGCCGGGCGGACACGAAAGTTAATTACCCCCTTACAGCTTGTAGTAGGCGGGACGGACATTTAAGTCGGATTATCTGAAAGTAATCTAGTGAGACTCCCCGCGAGGATAAACAGGCCAATCAGAATAGACGAAATCAAAAGATGAAACAAACAAATCCAACATGGCGGATGGCTTTCATCGCTTCGCACATTTTGTCCCCTTCGATCTTTTACATATTTTATTGTTGCTGGTTAATAATAGGCTACATGAGATCGGAAGGTGTGACATGTATCTATGTCGTAAATGAATAAAACGTAAGACTGCCCACGTGTCATTAATGCAGCCAGGGACCGGTTTTGTACGAAGTAACAGGGGCGGGGGGGGGGGGGGGGGGGCGCTCTTCAAAAACTGAGTTCGGAAAATTAAATTACAAATAACTTTTCGAACAGCATACGAATTTGATTAGACGTGATTACTTATTTAAACACAGCTGGGCAGCCGAAATATTAGGAATGCAAATTTTCACACAAACGATCCGGATAAGGAATTCATTTAATTTACGATATTTCCTGGTAGATACTCACTGCCTTATGGAACATTATAAGCTTGAATTTTTTAAATAATTTACTGCCTTGTAGAACTTTTGTCAAAGCACACTTCTAAGTGCCTAGTTTTATATTAGTTTATTGTAACCCTTCTTCATTCCTTCTTCTCTC